TTCTTCTCTTCCCCTAGTTCATGAGACTAGAAGGTAATTTTTCTTTTTTTCCCTTTTTTTTTTTTTCTTTCCCACGCCTGTGCAGTATGCAGATCCTTTTGGTGTGAGATCTGATGTAAATATTTAAATCGCGACCCCCAATCATCGAGGCAGACAGACTCTCTGACTGTAGGCAGTGAACAGCAGCGAAATTTTCTGAGGATCTGTCACAGGGATTTGGATGATCCCATCCCGAAATATATAGTCGCTGCCTTTCCCTGTATCCGTGGCACGAGGGGGACAGAAAAGAGGACGACGAGGTCCCTGGGGAATAGCCAAAGTCCCCAGAGAATATAGGCAGAGAGCAACAACTACCACCTTGATATCCGCTCTTCAACTAAGAAACATAGTTACATACCTTGGCTATTGTAACCGTTTAATTTGATTCTAAATCTGATTCTATCTCCGTTTTCATTCTTCCCAACTTCCTCAGGACTAACGAGCTGTTTCCAAGTGTCCTGGAGCTACCAGAGTGGAGTAAAGTCGAACGAATATGACGCGGGGTGTGGCACAAGTTGTGCCTACGTGGCACCTTTTGTATTAAAACGTGATGGGATGGAGGACTCCAAAGAGGTGTAACCGTGTCGAACGTAGGGCTGCGGTGCGGTGCGGTTGGTTTTCTTTGCTTTTCTCTAGGGCAGGAAGGGTCAAGTAAGTAATTAATCTTTTTTGCTTCTCCGTTCTCCTTCCTTCTTTTCTCCTCGACGTATTGTGGCTGAAACCTGCGAACCACGGAGCTGGAGATGTGAGCTGGTAGAGTTAGTTGCAGAGAGAGAAGGCGATCTTACTTGAAGGGGTTACTCGCATTACAAAGCCTTTGTTAAAGCAAGTACCTAAGATCAGTTGGTTTATCTTATCTTATCAATTGACCTCCCGGTACAAGGGTCATATCATTAGAACCACGAGCCTCAATAGATTAGTTCGGCCTGACACGCACGGTCCAACACCAGTCCAGGCACACAGTGGCCAGTCAGTATGCGACAATGATTTTTGAGATAAGCCGCGTGGTGATTATACGCAAATACATGTACATACCTGCATCACTGGATGAAACTGAGGGGGTTTTCAGAAGTAAACTAAGCAAATACACACTGTGAATAGTTTACGTTGTGCGTCATTGGTGATGATTCTCAGTAACAAGAGTTAATATATAAATGACAGATGGTTTTAATTTAGATCCATACAAGAAGAAACGCATACCACGACAATCGAACCACTAGGCCGTTAGCGTGCATGACTGGTCTTACTATGCGTATGCGATTCTTAGAACACAAGACGAACAATCCTATTGAATGAAAGACGGGTTCTATTGATACGCGGGAATCCTGATACGTATCTCAAACAAATCACTTATCACCGACTCGAGTACCTATATGTAAGTATGTACCTATAAGTAAGTACATGTACTCCACATGTATCTACATGTACATAAGTCGTTATTCGGTATCTTTTCATCCCCCGCGGTACGTGAATCTTATTTTTCCCAGTCACGTTCCCAATTTATCTGCCTCTGCTGACGCATTCTGGTATTTACGTCGTGTGGTTTACAAGATGTACATAGAAATGATGCTGCATCATGAGAGTCATTTTGAGTACATACATGTATTGGATTATATCGACCACACCTTTCACTCAAAGCTAGAGCCAGCTGGTTAGCCCCCCGAAGAAAAAGCATACATACATCATACATCTCGACTAGGTTAATTAAACTGCAATACATGCAGTAATCTATCCTCGATCTCGCAGACACAAATCCTTTTAGACCTAACAACGAAGGCCTAACAGGTCTGGGAGAAATCTTTTACTATGATACATACAGTCAAAAGGAAGTCAACATTGGAGATAAGATAGAAACCCAGGAAGTCCGTGATTACATACACGTATATCCAAGCTAGCGCTGCAGTGTACGCTAGTGTTTTTCATGACAAGGAAAGACAATACATATCTAGTAGACCTAGAAATTTCGAAATAGATAGTATAATACCTCAAGCTTTACCATCTAGCGTTTAAATGAGATGACACTGCAGGCGCTCACGGTCATTTTAAGAATTTAACTACTGCCTTTTGACCGACAAGAGCTATTATATGTGAAGAAACAGCCAAGCTATCAATGCCAAAGTTCAGCTTGATTCCTATTGGCCAGCTGCAGATATACACCCTGGTGAGTAAAGGTGGACATGTCATGCAAGACTCAAAATATCTGGTTCAAATGACAAGGTCCTTCATTGGCAGTTATATTCTCCTCCCATGGTTTGATGGCCTAGGCGCCGGGATACCTCACCTTACGCATATTCTCCTACCCCGCATTCACTCACTGGTACATACTCTACTATCTGCCCTACTCCATGTACCTGCATGCAGTCAAACCTACATACTTCCGCTCTCACGCAAAAGAAACCATGCCACGCGCGATCCAAGACAAGGGAAGCGGTGTAAGTGGAACATTACCCTTGCTATATTCTAAATTTTAACTGGCAGGAGATTAAAATTATTATACCCTGCATCTATGGCCGCCTGGAACGTGTTAAGATGTCACCACTAACTAGAATGGCTGACGATAAAAGTACATGTAACCTTCACTTGCTATATATATGGATGGATCCTTGGAAAAGACAATACCGGATCTATCCGAATACACGTGAGCGTTTAAATTAGGTCCACGAGAAAAAAGCTATCTTCTATTTTCGGAATTAGCAGTTGTGAGCAGTACGATCAACGGTCCGGTCCTAGGCCGGACGAGACTGATTGACAAAGACTGAGAGTCCACCGTCCTACTACAGTCGACTACAGCCAGACTGTGGACGGACGATGGATTGCATTATGATAACTACTGCATTATGACTACTACAGCGGGGCTCTCAGGGGTGTCCCCTAAGTCGCTTTCTTACTAGGTTGGGGTAGCTCTCAGCCTGGAGTTCGTAGACAATACAGTCATCCGCCGATATAACGAACGTGCATATTCCAAAGTTTTCCGTTCGATACAGCAGATTATTCGGTATAGCAGGCAAGTTTCTATGTGAAATTTAGATTCAGATCACCGAAACCCGTTCGTTATAGCAAATTTGTGGCTTTTTTGGCATTCGTTATATCGGCGAAGGACTGTATGTATCACCACTGTTGGGTAATAGTAAAAAGGTCTTGTCTTGTGCTTCTCACACTGCTGAAGGATTGAGATTAATTCATTCACCGTAATATTATCATAACAAACAATTTACAAAACCCTTTTGGGTAGTCATGCAGTCCATAGTCTATGAAGTCCGTCCACTTTTTGGACGGACTGATCCCCCTACAGGACTGTAGTCGACTGCAGTCCTTGCAGTCCACTTCAGTCCGTCGCACACTTTAAATGCCTGGCTTGGCATAGTCGACTGCCAGTCGGACGGGCCTGTTGGCGGCGCTGGACTTGTAGGGCTTTCACGGGAAATGTGGGGTTGGATTCAAGTTGACAGTGTATACCTATGCATATGAGTATATATTGTTCAAAAGGCTGAATCATTGCCGTTCAGCATCGTTATCGTATACAAAAACTATCTAACCTCATACTGAGTGTGATCAAATTTATTCCCACTGATCTTTATATATGATAAGAATATAACAGGTCGAGGTTGCAATAAGAATTAATAGGAGCTCTACAGGCAGATAATTGTTTAGAAAAACATTCTGATCCAAATATTAAATACTGGCTACATATAGTACTACATGGATGTACGTACTTGACCCAAAACCTTGACGGTTGAATTTCTATAACTCCTGGGCGCTTCGTTATGGTTGAGGTCGAAGCGAATAAACGCCATAGCCTGGAGTAGGCTTACGTACTTACGCATATGCACGGAATTACATGGACTGACCCGAACGGTCTAGGTCATGACTCGATTTAGTGCACATCTTTCTCACTAGCCCTATTTGGATCACAATATTTATAAAAACTACAGTCGCACCTCGTTATGTCGTTAGCGTATTCTGGGAGCCAAACCCCTACGAGATAGCAAGTATACGAGACAGCAAATAGTTTTTGGTGGAGAAGGGCAGTACCTGTCCCGCAAATCCGTACGAGACAGCAAGAGATCCGAGATATCGAATTACGAGATAGCGAGGTGCGACTGTACATACATCATCCTATCCTATCTGGGCCAATATCATGATCACTATATATATTGAGGTGATATGCTAGTTAGAGTATTCTGGCAACCACGAGAAGCGATTTTTCTAGGATTACATGTAGTTACTAATATAATATCGGAAATTATGGCATCAAAACCTAATATGGAATGTTACAACTTGCATTGACAAGTAAAAAATTGAAATTTCGACTCTCTGCTTGCCGAACACCGCAATATCGGAAAATAAGGTATATGACCCTTTTTGGCGAGCGGCGGTCTAGCTAGCAAATTTATCATGATATTTTTTCTCTTGATAACCACAAGGGTATGACAGAGCCTTTAAATCGTGTATGCAGGTCATGATGAGAACTTAGTTATTCAGTGCGTTATAAAACCTATTTCGGCCTAGTTCAATTAATGAATTATCAATCGGGTAGAGACGATCGGTACGCACAATCATAGATTATCACTCGCTTTAGGATACTCTATCGATGATCGTCTCAATTGGGCAGAAGAGGTGGGAAAGGGGGAGGAAGAACGATGATAAGGAGGTAATGAACGAGACACGAGCTCGTAGCAATCCATAAAAGGAGAGAATTGTGTCAAGAGTTAGTTTAACCACACGTTATTCTGTTGCGCACAAAAGGACTTAAGGCAAAACTGCAGGGGCATAATAGCTACTACACAACCAGTAGTTGCATCTTATTATTTCAAAGTAAACTTTTAACTATTCAATTAATTTTGAAATGGGTACATCACATACACATATGCGCACTGGGCCCGATTCCAGCTCCGACTTCGGTGCACTACACACTAAATATACGCAGGACACAGGTTACTAGCGTAAGGATAGGCACGAGAATGTTGTGCGGTCTAGCAAGTCTCGTGCCCACCCTCAGGTATGCGACACACCCACCCAATGACAGAGAGCCGGAACAGCAAGCTGCCCGCACCGGGTGGACACGAGACCAAGAGCCAGGCCTCCCTACACCATCCGGAAAACCATCTCCACTCTACAATATTCCTTCTAACAAGGTTCATCCAGTCTAATCTGAGGTCTTTTTCTCCATCGCACCCCTACTTTGCGGTTTCTTCGTCTTCCTATCTGTGTTAACTCGCTACCCCATAATATATGCCATGTCAACTCTCCACCTCCCTCCTCCTCCGCTGCGTGTATGGGGACACAAGTCTAGCTGACCTCCCTCCCTATAATCCTTAATCGCGTTCCTTCTAGATCTTCTCTTCCCATGGAGGGTCTTTTGACTTTCTTTTGGGGGGCTTTGGAATAGCGCCACAAGGTCGAACGGTGGACTAGCTAGGCTGGATATATATGCACGCGAAATTAGGAGCACCATTCCCAGAATCCGCGAATCTGCTTTGGAGATGTGGACCTTGGCTGATACGTAACGAGTGGATTAATGATCAAGCGGCCTCTAATCAGGGGCAAAACTTTCAGCTCATGTTACTGGGTCAAGCTGTTCCTGTTTAGTCTCTCATAGTCTTTCTGTATTCCAAGCTGTGTATTAATAATGGACATAAGGTAAAATTTAGCTTTCCGCCTTAATTAAAGCGGAGGGTTCCCTATGAACATATTGACCTAATTAATTAATTAAAGCGGAGGTTTCCCCTACCCAGGGAGCCTTAGCGAGTGATTTCTGATGCAACACCCAGAAGACAAAACGAATCCCGACTTTCGGATTTAAAGATGAAAGATATAGTGTGGATGAACTGAAGTAACCGGATCTGTTGCCGGGATACTGGAGGAGATTGTGATTACACAAGATCTTTGGTTGCTAGGTCGGTCGGGCCGGCTGCTTCCATCACTCGTGGTACACCGTTTCTCCAATAACGCAGCAAAGCCGTTGAAATGCAGAGAATCTCCTCGTATAGGTTTTTGGTCCGATAGTGCCTATTGAATTTTTCAATTTGCGCTATATTTCATTTTATAAAGTTCTATTATCACATCCCATCACTCGGAATGCTCCGAACTCACCAATTTACCTCTGTCTATTTTTACGGAGCTGGAGCCAGTCACATGCACTCCCACTTGAAGATTTCCATGAATAACAAAGGCGCTTAGACCCCATCCTTTATTGGTGAAACGGGGATCGCCGTTGTGCTCTAAATATACTGATGGACGAAGGCCAACCGGATCAGTTCGTAAATAGATGACTTTATGGTCTTGAAAGCTTCCTAAGCTAGTGGATAGAGGTTTTCACCTCTTCACATGAGGATTAAGCCACAAGAAGTACAGATATCGAGACCAGTTACCGCGTAGATCCTTCTTCGTCTATAACAGCTGTTCTAGCGAAGAGAATGCGCAAGTAAAGGTGGAAGTATCCCACTTATCCTTTTCCCAAGTTGCGGAGATCATCGCATTCAAAGGCCTGTATGACTCACTTATCACGATCCGTGTAACGAGTGATACCCTATGATTTCCGCTCACCCCATCCTTTAGTCCTCCAATCAATATCAACGCGTAGAGTGAAATTTTTAAGCTTTCAAATATCAGGTCGAACAGAATTATTCGCCTTCGTGCGTGACCGGGAGGACCTAATTCAGGCAGGAAGAGCTGACGTTCGAGAACTGCTCAGCTACTACCGGGGTCGGGTATGTACCTATACTTTCCGGTACATACATCTTTGAGGTGTGATCATAGCATGATAGATAGTCGAACGTGCAATCGTCTGGTCTGTGGAACTGGGTTTGTGGTTGGGTTGGTTGTGATACCTGGGCTGATAACGCAACTTGTGGGTAGACCGAATCTATATATCGAGTTTCTTAGCCTCGGCGATCATATCACATTTTCGCAACGGCTCCATTGTTTTTTCTGGTTTCTTTTCCCCGTCATACCTGCTGAAATGGGCATGTAGCAGTCGACAATCAATCTGCAGAGGTTAGGGCTTTTCCCGCAACCTCATTTCAATCGTTCACGCTATCAGTTGAGCAAGGATCTTCTGGAGCCAAATGTAATTAGAGACAAGCACTAGAACGTTGAAGTTTCATTTCATTCAATTTCTGTCTCGCCCATTACCACTGTTCGCTGCACGTGTCATGTCGAGTAAATTAATTTTTTCTCTACCTACCGATGAGGTGGCACTGAGCTGCGACCGGGAGCGTGAAGGGAAAATAAGATACATACGTCTCTCAGCACCTTTGCCTACTCTTTTCACCTGTATCTATCCGGCGCATAGTGCCCTAGCCCTACAAGGAGACGGATACATACATATACACTGGACCTACAGTTATACCCATGTTCCTTTCCATCATCCTCTCGAGTACGTACATCAGCGGTGGTGGTTGTGATTGTGGTTGTGGTGGTTGTGCAGCGTTTGGAGCTATCAGCAGGTTTGAGTGGTTAGCGCCCTCCCCGAGAATATAGTCGAGAGATGATTCGCCAGACGGTACGTACCCCGGATTCCGCACCTTGATCGCTTCGCTTGGTACCGAGGGATGGCTGGATGGATGGCTGTGATGGATGGATGGGTGGAAGGGGAAAGGCGGAGCCTCATGATTTAACGTCATTGGACCCTGGATTGTTTCTTGTGGGTGGTTGTGAAACGGAGGTGGCTCGGCCTTTGAACCGCGCGTGAAGAGGAAGAGAGGAAGGGGAGGAAGGAGTGGAATGGAGAGTACCGGCGCTTTTGGCGGTTTCTTTCTTTATCGCAGGTAAGCGTAAGATGTATGTAAGTATAGGTGCCTACAAGTACTTCATACGTACATGTATCTACATACGTACATCTTGTACCTTCACTGGGCATTGAGGGCTACATACATACATATGCACATATGTACATGCATTCTTGCTTCTTCTTCTTCTTCTTCTTCTTCTTCTTCTCCTTATCGTGAAGGCAACGGTCTAAGGATCGGACTTTGTTTGTTCGTGTAGCGTTTATCCCACGGGCATTGTGCGAGTGTGAGTACTCTAGAAGCTGATTGTATTACCTTGTACCAGCTGCACGGTAGAAATATACTTTTCAGTTTAATAGGAATATCATATTTACTGTATTCGAAAGGAAGAACAATATAACCCCGGGGACGATCATACGGTGCTGCGACGATTACTCCCTGAGAGAGAGGTTCCTCGGCGCGGGAGACCGCGTGTCTGTACAATCTAGATAATCATACCGAAATTGGAATTTCATTCATACTGTACATGTAGTTATGTGCTCGGAGAGTTGGAAGGTGTGAGTTTGTGTGTGTGTGGTGTGGTGGTGGTGGTGGTGGTGGTGGTGGTGGTGGTGGTGTGTGTGTTTGTGTGTGTCTGCCTGCCTGCACTTTAGGTGTCGGTAAATATTACTGCTGGTTACTTACTTTTTTGGCAGCTGCACGAAATAATCAATTCTCTACTACTGCTCTACATGCTCTAGAGTACTCTACACGGTACATGTTCCCTCGGGCTCACCTTTGTTGCACCTTCGTCGTTGTCGAGATCGATATGCACACCGGTAGGTAAATGGAGGGTGATATCACGGTGAGCCGTTGTTTCTGTCGCTTGTCCAACACGTATCTCGGATGGGGCCAGAAGAAAAGGCTTGCTTACATTCGGTAAACTGGTTCTAAAGAAATACGGTGGGTGGAGGGAGTGTCAGGATGGGCTAACGCTATCTGGTGGCGGTTGCGACAAATTTGGCAACTGGCAGTGCCCGAACCAGTGGCTAAAGAAGCAACGAAGATGTGTGCTGTTCGATAAGAACATTTACCAGCCACTTTGAAACAACATCTTATGGGGGAAGCGATAGAGAGAGAGAGACAGACAGACATAGGGATTGTGTGTGTGTTCTCCGCCTACATGTGTGTATGCAGATACCAACCACCATCCGTAGGGCAGAGACACAATATATATATGTGTATCAGCATCTTCCCTCTTGACCACCACAACCACAAGTGAATGCAGGTGCCCTGAGTACTTAGAGTGCTGTACTTAACTTTCTTTCCACAATTGAGCATTCCTCTCTTTATTCCATCGAGGTTGACACACTATTTCCATCAATCTTCACCGCAATTTCCCAATCAACCCGTGGTCGGTAGCAACAAGGTAGGAGAGCAACCCCGGTGTCCAAGCGTACTTTACTTCACCACCTCAACATCACCTCCCCCATCTCCTTTCCTCCCATCACTCCAGAAACAATAACAGCCGCAAGTCAGCCCAGTCCAGCTAACAACAACAAAAAGCTCAACTCCATCGTCATCCAACCTTTTCTTGCGCCGTTGCCGATTGACAGCCGAACGATCACCCCCCACGCAAAGAATCTAATAGAGGGTAACTAGAGAAAAAAAGCCGCATTTCTAGCAATCTCCCAGAGGCATCCCCCTCACGCCCTTCGCAAACCCCTTTTACCGTCGGTCTCCTCTTTCTTTCATCGCAGCGCCCTAAAAATTACCAACGGTTCTATTGCACAACGATCACCGACCTCACTCCTATACCCGCCTGCCCGCCCGCTTTCACGTGGTATCCCACCCCGCAGGAAGATAGATTGTACGGTTGTCCAGTGTTATTAGCTTTAGAATTACTGTAAGTATCTGGTGCGTGTGTTCATACGTTTTCGTGTGTATCTTCGACTATACATACTTAGCTTCCTTCTTTTGCTATATTGGTGCCCGCCTAGTACTATTGACGGCTCGCCTCCGTCAATCTGCTACCTCCTATCCCCATTCTATCAATTACCCGGAGAACTTGCGTTTCATTATTTCGCTTGCTTGCCTGCACTCACATAGCTCCTTCTTCCGTACTTGTTTTCTCTTTCTTGTGAACGCTTACACATAATCTACCTTCCTAGTACCCATACTTTGTACCTCCACGCGCATCTCATCACGTCCCACGAAATAACTCAAAAGATCGCGAGCTCCTCATTGTTCTTTGACAGACCCCTACGTAACTTTTAATGTCTAACCCTCTTCCGCACCCCACTCCCGCTCCCCAACAGCCCACTTTTTTGTGTCATCATTCTCTCGTCATCATCACCTAGCCCCCTTCATACCTCTATGCTTCATCTGGGCTTCTTTGGCCTCTTCAGAAGGAAAACTTTTATTGACCCGTACTACGTGAA